TCTACAACCACACAAGAAATTGTGTGGTTTATAGAAGTTGAGATTAGGGCAATTGGTCAAGCATGAATCTGCGGACCGCACTTAAAATTGTACAGACCACAGTATTTCCATCGGGGCTGCCGAAAAGTGAGTGCGGCCGCAAAACGACGCAATCTCTGTCTCCAGAGAGTTGAACTTTTGGGATATCTAATGTGTGGCCTCATGAGAAAAGTGCGGACCGCACCCCAGTTTTGCGGTCGCACTAATAATTTTGCGACAATTCCAATTCTGCGGCCGCAAGTTCCAATTGTGCGGTCCGTACATCCTAGCATGTGGTTGTACTTGTAATTATGCGGACCACATTTTCCCACCCTGCAATCATATTTCGCATTGTGTTCCTTACTGTTTTGAACTTGAATTACAACTGATTCCTGTTGCTACTTATTTTAAATAATGGTTCGATCTCGAGGCTGTGGAGATACTTCAAAGTGGAGGGGTGAACCTTCCAAAGGCTGAGGCAAAAGTGCCTTACCCCTCGGCCTTCAAAAGATTATAACCAAGAAGGCTACAGCCGGCCGAGGTAGAAATGCAGAGCCTATAGAATCCAGTTCTTATGTCACATCTAAGGAAGCATCGGAGGGCAACTCGGTTGAAGAGCAGGCGGCTGTCCAATCAAAGCCACCGAGGAGATTCCAACTCCAAGACGAGCCTTCCACATCACAAAGCACCTTCGAGGGTTCATAGAGTGCTAGTAAGGCTTTGGAGCCTTCTTCTACACCTACCCCTAAGGCACCAACGACACCAGTTGATGATATTCCCGATGATGGTTGAGGGGGTGATACTATAGTTGCCATCCTTGAGAGTAAAAAGAAGAAGGAGGTCTGGGAGGATCGGTTCGTCAATCTAGCTGCCTTTACTAGCTTCCGAGAATGGTTGTCGGTGAGAGCACTCACTCTTGAGCGACAGTTCCAATTGAAAGACCTTGACAAGTACAATGCGGCAGTTTTGAGACAGTTCCTAGAGCGGAAGAGGTGGATGTGGTTCTCCTAGAGTGTAGTTGACATAAAGGAGTATCTGATCTGAAAATTCTACGCCAATGTGGTGCATATAAAGAAAGGAACCAAAGTGACAAAATTGAGGAATCTGACAGTGATATTTGACCAGAACACCTTGAACACCTACTTGGGATTTGAGGACATTGAGCCTGTGCGGTACTTGAAAAAGATAGCAATGGGAGATGCAGCTCGCTCATGGCTAGCTGAGATTCTTGCAGCCTCGGGGCCACCGCCACCATGGATCACAACAGGGGTTCCTATTCAGAGAAACACCATAAACTTCAAGGCGAAGGGATGCCAGATTTTTGTATGCAGTCAACTAGACCTGTGCCCGAATGAAACGAACCTCCTATTCCGTGGGCAGTGCTAGTCGCCAGTATTATTGCTGGGTACCCGATCAATGTGGGTGTCGTGATGTCAGGCAATATGTATGTGGTCTCCAGCCAAGCTGACACCTCCTACCCATATTCCAACACTATCGCTGGGTACCTTACAGATGTGCGGGTGGAGGCAAACAATTTTGACACGAAGGTTCGGGCTAAGAATCCCCTCTCATGGTATTCCTTTATGGATGCACATAACCCTAAGAGAAAGTGTCGCCTGACTATCACCGTTGGCCAGTCTGATGAGCCATTGGTGGTACCAAAAGAAACAGCTGATATGCCATCCACTTCAGTAGAGCCTTCAGCCAATGCAGCTGCCATGCCCCCCACCTTCAGCCTCAATGCCTTACACCCCAGCCTCGAAGCCGGTGTCGATGCCTACTGCTCTACTCTTTGCATTGAGAGTCTCCAAGACATCGATGAGCCTCAACAACTGGATGCAGACAACTATTGCAAAGCTGTCTGACATATTCAATGTTGTTGCAACACAGTCATCCATTTCGACACCCCAGATTCCTCCAATAGTGGAGGAGACTTTGAAGAAGCTCATGGAGAACCAGACCACAATAATAAACACATTGGTACAAAATGGAGTGATTAAGGAGATGGGAAAGGAAGTCAAGAAAAAAATAATGCAACAAGGTTTTCGCATGACTTCTCTCTCGGTGCACGTTTAGCCAAGGAAGGCTAACTTGCACCAACAATGGCAAGATGGCGGAAAAAACCTGCAACGACGATCTCAACCGTAACTTCGGCAACCACTAGACAACATGCATTCACTCTGTTAATGTTTGGTAGCTTTCTACCAGCTCAATTTCCACTAATTAGAGAGGAAAGTGAAAGCAGATTTGAAAAGGAATGTAACAGTGAAAATGAATGGAGCAATGCAGATCAAATTGCGGAGAAGGAGAATCAGAAGGGCAAAATCCAAGTGCCAACAATACCTCGTAGATTACAATTTTTAGAGGCATGATCTTTTGTGCAGCCTTCCCCAACCCTAGAACAACAAGTACCAGCAGCTCAAGGAGAAAACTCAATGAATCAACGTGCAAAAGATCTAAGGAAACTGAATCGCAACCCTCAGATGGGAATACGACTGCATTATGTGCCTCCTAGTTATCGTGATGGTAAGATTGCACTTCGAATTATTGAGGAAGATGTCCAAAAGCTAAATGACCATTGCGCTACTGCTTTAATTGGCAATGTACTAAGTGATACTCTATATGAGAAATCTATGGAGAACTTTATTATGTCTATTTGGGATTTTGTTTCAAAGCCACAAATCCTGTATCACAGTTATGGATACTATGTATTTCAATTCTCAACAATTGAGGATAGAGATCTACTGATGCAAGCAGGACTATATACGTACCATAATAAGCTATTTATTTTACAAAACTAGGAAAGAGATTTCCATTTTGATCCTAAATGCTTCACTACCATTCCTTTGTGGGTGAATTTCCCAGGTTTGGCTATTGGGTACTGGACTGCAGATGCACTTATCAAAGTGGCTAGTGCTATTGGATCACCTATGTACATTGATAGATATACAGTTGATCTCAACAAAATTTCATATGTTAGAGTCCTAGTAAAAGTTGATATCACAAAATCATTGTTGGAGAGTATAGAAATTGATACTCCTTTAGGAACTATTCAACAATAAATTGCCTATGATTGGAAACCAAAGTTTTGCATTGATTGTAATCACTTTGGCCATGATAAGTTTGAGTGCTGGAGGAACAACCAACAGAAAAATGATGAGGCAGAATTTCAAGCACCAAAAAGAAGGAAAAGGGCAAGGAAGAAAAAAGTAGTGCAGGAATGAAAACCAAAGGAACTAGCAGAGCAAGGAGATGAAGAAGATGCAATAAAGGTGGGAGATCAACAGGAAGAAGTTGGAAATGACAAACAAAAACAGTTGTTGTAGAATCTCCAAGGCAAATGCTCAGGAGGAATGGTGAATGTAGAACTCAGCATAGGCGGAGTACAAAAATAGGACAACAATCTCAACATGAAGGAGGCATAAGTACAAATATATTTATGATTCTTGAAGAGTGTGTTCCAAGCACTTCTAGAATGGAAGAGGCTGGAACTGATCATGCATTCAAACCCCTATGATCATGTGTACGTGGAACATTAGAGGGCTGAACAAGCCCTACAAATAGAAGGAGTTGAGGCTTTTTCTAAACAAGAATAAAATAGATATCATTGGATGTCTAGAAACTAGAGTAAAGAAAAGGAAGGAAAAAAAACATTTTGAATAAGGTAGCTAGAGACTGGGGCTATTGCTACAATTATGCCCAAGTAGTAAATGGTAGGATATAGCTATTATGGAGATCACACCTAATATTCAAGGTCCTCAAAACCCATAAATAATTTATACATTGCTCAGTGGAGGACTCAGCAACAAACTTTCAGGTCCTGTTGACAGCAGTCTATGCTAGGAATAAACCCTAGGAAAGGGATGTCCTATGGCATGAACTACAACTGCTAGAAAGTCAGATACAAACACCATGGCTTATTAGTGGAGACTTTAATAATATACTGAGCACTGATAATAGAATAAGACAACCAGTTACATTTGGGGAAGTGCAGAATTTCAAGCAATGTATTGACACTATGCAGCTAACACCACTCAGAACAAAGGAATGTTTCTTCACTTGGTGCAATAAACAACAAGCAAGTAGTAAAGTGTACAGTAAAATTGATTGAGCCTTTGGGAATTTCAGCTGGACTCGGATTTATGGGCACATAGAAGCAGACTTCCTAGACCCTGGAGTATCCGATCACTCACCAGTTGTGATTCAATTATGGAACAGAATAGCTACTCACCCAAGCCATTCAAGATTTACATGGTGACAATAGAACACCAAGACTTTTCACCTCTGGTGAATAGAGTATGGCAACTGCAGGAAAGCGGGGATCCAATGTCAATTATATGGCAGAAACTCAAAAGACTAAAAAATGAAGCAAAGGGACGGAACAAGTCCATGGCAACCTATGAGCAAAAGTTGAACCAAGCCAGACAAAGCCTAGAATGTATACAAGCAACACTTGTCATTACTCCTTTTGATCGAATGCTGATTGAGCTAGAGAAGAAAAGTATTAGTGAGCTGGAAAAGTGGAGCACAATAGAAGAGAAAATTCTGAGGCAGAAATCTAGATCAAGCTAGATTGAATATGGAGACTCAAATTCAAAATACTTCTATGCACAGATGTAGATCAGGGCCATCAAGAATGCCATTAACTCCATATATAATGATGTGGGAATAAAGATTAATGATTCTAAGGCTGTGGAAAAAGAATTCCTTACATTCTTTACAAAGCTTATAGGTAAGGCAAATGGATTGATGATCTGCCCAAACTCAAGTGTCATTAAAAAAGAAAATTACCTCACCTTAAAGCACCAGGAGGAACTAATAAAAGACATAGCATAAGAGGAGATTGATGCAGCCATCAAGGACATGCCAAATGATAAATATCCTGGAGTGGATGGTTTCCTATAGAGTTTTTCACTAAGCAATAGGAGACTGTGAAGCAGGACATCTATTATGCAGTGAAGTATTTCTTTCATACAGGGAAAATGAAGACAGCATGGAAATGCACTACTATTACATTGATCCCTAAGATTTTAGCATCAACTCAGGTGAAAGATTATAGGCCAATAGCATATTGCACTACATTGTATAAGATTGTTGCTAAGATACTGACCAACAGACTCAAGAAAGTGATAGAGGTTATTATTGGGAAAGCACAATCAATATTCATTGAAGGAAGAAACATTATTGAGAACATCCAATTTTGCCATGAACCATTTAAAGGCTATAATAGAAAAGGTATATCCCCTAGATGTGTGCTGAAAATGGATATTATGAAGGTATATGACTCCTTGGACTGCATTTTCTCAAGTGTATGTTAGCAAACCTTGGATTTCCTCAAAAATTTATCCATTGGGTCATGGAATGTGTAACCACAGTGTCTTATTCATTGGTTTTCGATGGAGGCCTTACCAAACCATTCCAGGCTAAGAGAGGAATCAGGAAAGGAGACCTAATGTCACCATATATCTTTGTAATTGCAATGGAGTACCTGCAAATGGAGATGAACCAGTTGCCCACGATCAAAGAATTCAAGTACCACCCACGATGCAAAAGGCTAGTAGTGACACATATCTATTTTGCTAACGACTTACCCATGTTCTGCAATGCAGATATTAATTCACTTACCATAATGAAGGAAACCATTCAAAGCTTTTCTGGTGCATCTGTTCTACAGGTGAATGCAGAAAAAAGTTCTATTTACATTGCTGGTGTTCACAAGGATCTTAAAGACACATTGATAAGCTTGCTAGGATATGCAGAGGGAGCCCTGCCATTCAAATACTTGGGAGTTCCCTTGTTTGGCAAGAAGCTAAACATATAGTAGTGCCTACCATTGGTGGAGAAGATCACAGAAAGAGTAAACTACTGGTCAGCAAAAATGTTATCCTATTCAGGAAGGATACAGTTAATCAAGTCTGTGATCTTTGGTATGTAGACTTATTGGGCTCAAATCTTCCTACTGCCCAAGAGGATTATAAAGATGATTGAAACTATCTATAGAACATATATGTGGACTGGTACACGTGCTACATCTAGGAAAGCACTAATAGTATAGGACAAAGTTTGCCAACCAAAGGCTGCTGGGGGCTTAAACATTATCAACATGGGACTATGGAATAAAGCAGCAATCTTAAAGCAATTATGGGCATTGGCAAAGAAAAAGGATGCACTATGGATCAAATGGACACACTGCTACTACATAAAGCAGAGAGATATAGACATTATGGCTACACCTAAGATATCTACTTGGGTGGTTAGGAAGATTATATATGCAAAGCAAGTATTGATGCAGATGAACACATTGCAAGCCGACCTTAATGTCAAGATAAAACCAATGGAGACTGAGGGCAGATTTCAGATAAAGAAGGCATATACTCAATTGCTGCCTCAACTTCCAAAGGTTGGTTGGAAGAGTATTCATATGCACCCTGTCGCACCCCTTTTCCTTACGGAGTCTGAGTTTCGATATTTTGGGACAACTCCTTTTCTTTTGGAAATTGGGTATGAGATTTGAAGAATCGTCACCTAACGGATTAAGGTGTGTTAGGGCACCTAGAACAATTAACTTGTGTACTAGTTTACATCATCAGAGATTAGATAAGGGCTCGAAATTACCTTGAGGGGAAGGTGTTAGGCACCCCTCGAGGTCCACAACGGTGGGTCCTGGCCAAACTCAATTTAAGCGAATTAGTCTTATAAATAGATAAACAAACAGATATTACTTTGAAAATAAGGAGTAAAAGGGGTCCTAAGTTTTTTAGTCTATAGAATCACTTATGTGCAATACTTGGTAATCGTCCCCAAGTTGGGGTACTACAAATAGCATAAACGCACATGTCATCATTTCCTTTTACTATTCAATTACACCCCTTTTGATTATTACCTAAGCGTTCTAATAACATCTAGTATATATCATATGTGTGCACTACTCATCCCTTACCTCTGGCCCTGGAGGTGTTTAGGGCCTCTATTTAAGGCGGTTCTAGACTCACCTATGTTGTTTAAAAGGAGAAAACTAAGCGACAAAACAAAAGTCAAATAGGACAATCACATAAGGAAATAATTAAGTGGGCTCATGTTAACCTTCACAAATAGACAAACAAATGCACGTTGTTCAAACAAACAACTTTAAATGATTTTAGGATCCTATAGGCAGGATATCTAAATAAGCACAAAAATAGAATATACAACAGTCTTGAAGCGAGCAGACGAGTACCTATCAATTTGCCTACTGATTTGGTTAATACTCTGAATCTGGGCATACGTTAAGCAGATAGGGTTTTAGACCCAGAATTTTGATTATCCTACAAGCTTGCATAAGTGATAATCGGACAGGACCCTATAGACATGGTATCTATGTTGTGAACCAATTGTTGATTTTAACAGGTAGATTTTTATCTTTAAATCCTAGAGGCATGCTTTCTAAGTGCTGAACCGGGTTTTAAAATCCTATAGTCATGATTTCTAAATGCAAAAATTGATTTTAACCCTATAGGCATGATATTTAAATGCAACTGATTTTTTGAAATCCTATAGGCATGATTTCTAAATGCAGAAATTGATATTTCCTATAGGCATGATAACTATATACGGAATTGATTATCTTATTTCCTATAGGCATGGTATCTAGGTGACTTTAGTTCTTATAGGCAGGGTCTCTATTACTCATACGTAGACAGAATTCTTTAAGCACATTGTAAGGAAAATGGTTATTCAAACAGACAAGATCCTATAGATATGGTTACTAATGCACATTGAATTGAAAATACATGCAGATCCTATAAACATGATTTTTAATGTGCAGAATTAGACGTAAAGTCATATAGCAGGATTTATAATATGCAAATGTGCAGCACAGAGTCAAAAGATCATAAAATCCAATAGGCAGGATCTCCAAACACAACACAGTATCCACATAGTGTAATCAAACATAGTTAAGTGCTATAGACAGGATTTCCACCCAATTTCAATAAGAGATATGAGAATAGACCTCCCTAGCTTTTACTAATAACCACATATCTGTTTGTTACAGAGATTATTACAGGCCAATATGAATAAATTATACAATAAGAATCATTATACTATAGAGAGCCTTAGCAGGCCCAATATAAACCTGAGAGCCAAGCCTTCAGCACAATAGTCTTGAAACAGTAGCAGGGAACCATTCATAGCACATTAAACCAAGCTTCTAGTGTGTCAAAGTTCCTAAAGAGCCTCAAGGACCCCAGGCAATGCTCACACTAGAGTCATGTATTCAACATAGAATTCATACAGGATTGGAAAACCAGCCCCAATGTGTTAGAGTTCAAAGGAGTCTTAGGACCCTAGGCAGTGCTCACACTAGGGGTGGTAAGAACCTAAAGGACTAAGAGTAGCAATTTGAAAACCAGTACATAGAAGGTAAAGGGGACAGTTTTATAAATCAGTTTAGTTTTAGAAGCAAATAGATTCAGGCTACAGGGTTGCAAATAGAGTTGTACAAACATAATCCATACTCAGCATATGATTCAGGAAGATTGATATTTGTTTAGACTGAATGCTTATATCAGTGATCACAAGGCAAGGACACTTGAATTAACAGATAAAGTTAGCCATATTACATGCTTGTAGTATCCAGCCATGTTTAGAACAAGGAACATACAACTGATTTAGACAGGTTTTCATATAACTTTATTTGTTAACTATCACTAAGTGGACTCATATAGACATATATTGAACAGAAACATGTTGGAGTTTGAAATATCTAACCAAACAAACATATAGCATAGTATAGCAGGTATCAAAAGCTCTCTAGTCCAGAAAGAAGTACCCAGAACTCATGGATCAAATAGAAATATGTTGAAGTCTATAATAGACTGATTACATAGCATATAAAATAGAACATGGTAACAGGAATTGAGACATACTAGTTAAGACAAGGAGTAAACAGGAAAACATAGGGCAAATAGAATCATGTTGAAGTCTAACTATATAGCATATAGAAGAGAATATGATAATAGAAATGGAGGTATACCAGTTAAGGGGAAGTAAATAGAAAGGTGAAGATAAATGAAATCTAAGAGTCTAGCCTTGGCTTTCAACCGGCTAGACAGTGCACTAAATCAAAGAAACTGAAATTGTGTAAGTGTGTATCAGTGTGTGCTTGTGAGTATAGATGTCTGAGTCTGAGAGTGTGTGTTCGTGTGTTTTAAAAAAATCAGAATGGTAAGGTTATATAGCATTCAGCAGAGTAGAACAAATAAGGTAAAGGAAATTAAGAGTTCACATATAAGGTATGCAAATAATTCAATCAGTTAATTAAGGCTAAACTCAATCAATAACACGATAGGATCCGGAACGACCCCTTAAATTAGGGAAAATCTCATACGAAATCAATTAGCGGACAAAACTGAGGTTTAATAAGGTAAGAAATAAGTCAGAGACCATTTATAGATTGGTCAGAACAAATCAAACCCATAAATCAGGCAGACAGATTCATCAGAAGATTGAGGGATTTGAATAAAATTTGTTCGAATCCCCTTAAGATTCCATCAAACAACAAAGAGATCGAATAACCAATAGAGATAAGAGGCCGGATAGGCCTAAGATCGAAGAGAAACCCCATGAATTGAAGGGGGTTCAGGTGACGGTGGGCTAGGGTTAGGGAGAGGTTGAGAGATAAGAGAGGGGGTGGGGATTCAGGGGCGGCGGTGTTTGAGAAATGGGTAGGGTTTGGGGGGTCGTTTGGTTAATAAAAAAGGAAATGAATCTTGGACCGTTAATCTTCTGAGATCAACGGCCAGGATTCCATCCAGGTTAGGGCAGGTTATTTGGAGATTGGGTTATGGGTTATATTTAAGTGGACTAGGGTAGTTTTGGGCTAGGACCGAAATTAAACAAAAATTAAAGAGGCTATTTGTTAAATACCTAATTAATTGATAAAATAATTTGTAAGAATAGTTAATTAAATGATAAAAATAATTTTTATGCCTGAAATGATTTAAAATAATTACTTAATATTATAAAAATACAAAAGGATATTTTCTTGTGAAATAAAGTAATTATGCACACATGGGGCTGTTATTGCAAAGTTATTGCAATTATAACCCTAACATGTACATATGGCTATTAATAAAATAATTAAAGCTTAATATAAGTATAAAACAATCAAATTAAGTAATAAAAATTATCATAAAATCTTTTGTGAGGCAATTAGTAATTATTTGGATAATAAAATGCTAGAATAAATTAATTAAAATCCTTTTAAGATTACAGAAAATTATGGAAAAATACTAGTTGATGCTCATGTACTATTTGAAAGTACATATGCATTTCAAAATATATGAGGGAAAAATTGGGTATCAACAGCTGCCCCTCTTTACCCAGGAAGGATGAAAGAGTTTTTGGGTAAAGAAATAATGACCGATTTTGACCGAATGGGATGTTTTGAAAAACTTCAGGCCTCTAATCTGCCTACATATCCCTGGTTTTATAGGAATCAGTCCATGTGTAGTTTTGGACCCAACGGTGAATGAAGTCGATGGAATTATTATAGGAATGGTAGCATGTTTCGGAAAGGTTCCTTTTTTTTGGAGGATAGTATTAGATGGGTTTATGCTGATTTATAAATATGGGTCTGAATTGTAATGGATGTATCATAGAGCAGATATTTGAATGGTCACAGAGTAAAGGCGGGAGATTGATGGGAATCGGTTAAATGGCAGAGTGAAAGTGGTACGAGCGGAAACCGGAGCGAAGGTTGCTCCTGTTTGAAGAACGGTCACCTCCTGGACTTCTTACAAAACTTAAAACACGATACATGCAAGGATATAGATTATTGCG